CTGATAAGAAAAAAATAAAATTCAAAAAAAAGTTGAAAAGCAACAAATCAAGTAATCCAATTAAAAAATGGGGAACAGAGCTAAACAGAGAAATCTCTATAGAGGAATATCGAATGGTAGAGAAACACTTAAAAGAAATGTTCAACATCAATAGTCATCAGGGAAATGCAAATCAGAACGACCCTGAGATTTTACCTTACACCCATCAGAATGGCCAAGATGAAAAACTCAAGTGACAACACTTGCTGGAAAGGTTATGGAGAAAGAGGAACCCTCCTTCACAACTGGTGGGAATGTAAAGTTGTACAATCACTCTGGAAAGCATCTGGCGCTTTCTCAGACAACTAGAATAAGCCTTTCCTCAAGATCCAGCTATACCACTCCTAGGCATATATCCAAAAGATGCTCAAGTACACAAAAAGGACATTTGCTTAACCATGTTTGTACCAGCTTTATTTGTAATAGCCAGAAGCTGGAACCAACCCAGATGCCCCTCAACTGAAAAATGGATACAGAAATTGTGGTACATCTATACAATGGAATATTACTCAGCAATGAAATACAAGGAAATCATGAAATTGGAAGGTAAATGGTGGGACCTGGAAAGGATTATCCTGAGTGAGCTGTCCCAGAAGCAGAAAGACACACATGGTTCATACTCATCTAGACATATAATATAGGACAAACCTACTAAAATCTTTCCACTTAAAGAGACTAATCAAGAGGCAAGAGTGGCTAAAATGCTCAATCGCCATCCTGAAAGGCAAAGAGGATGGACTTCAGAAGAAGAAGAAAACTGGAAACTAGTTAGGAGCCTCCCACAGAGGGCCTCTGAAAGGCTCTACTCTGCAGGGTATCAAAGTAGATGCTGAGACCTAGGGCCAACTGTTGGGCAGAGTTCACGGAATCTTATGAAAGAAGTGGGAAATCTGGAGAGGACAGGAACTCCACAAGGAGAGCAACAGAAAAAAAAATTGAGCACAGTGGTCTTTCCTGAGACTCATACTCCAACCAAGTACCACGCATGGAGATAACCTAGAACCCCTGCACAGACGTAGCCCACGGCAGTTCATTGTCTAAGTGGGTTCCATAGTAGTGGGAACAGGGACTGCCTCTGACATGAACTGATTGGCCTGCTCTTTGATCACCTCTCCATGAAGGGAGTGCAGCCTTACCAGGTCACAGAAAATGAAAATGCAGCCACTCCTGATGACACCTGATAGAGTAGGATCAGAAGGAAGGAGAGGAAGACCTCCCCTATCAGTGGACTTGGGGAAGGGCATGCGTGAAGAAGGGGGAGGGAGGGTGGGATTGGGAGGGGAGCAGGGAGGGGTTTATGGGGGGGAAATACAAAGTAAATAAAGTGTAATTAAGAAAAATTTAAAAAATGAATAATAACAACAAAAACCCAAAAAAGTAAATATATGAAAAAGAACAAAATGGTCACACCCAACAGGATACTCTTGCAAACATTAAAATATTCAAAGAAAGAATGTTGCTAATCACAGAGATCACAGAGATAGGCACACTGGGCAATGGCATTATAAATAATACCGTTTCTAAGAACAGAGTGTATCTGACATATCAAAGGGAAAAGAAACACTGTCACCGAAACAATCCACCAGGGACAGGCCCTCAAATATTGGCATGTGAAAAGTTCACCTGTTACTTATCTGTTCTGTGTTGTTACTTTAAATTACATGGTACAAGACACTACTCTCTTTTCTCATTGTCCACTTATTTCCTCATCTTTTCAGTTTATTAAGTCGGCTTAACTTTATTTTATTTTTTGCATCTGTTGTGGTTTGAATTTTGCCTCCTCCCATATAAATATCAAAGACATAAATATTAGTACCTGAGAAAATAACCTGAATTAGAAATAGGGTCTCTGAAGGTATAGTTTAAACCTTTAGCCATTAAACTGGCATTTTATTAGAAGAGATATAGACATGACTGGAAGAAGGTCATGTGATTCACGATGGAGGCAGAAATTAGATTTTGAAAACATGTTTACTGAAAGAAGCCAGTACCAACAAACAGATCCACAAAATACAGCTATATACCACTCTGATTTTATTTAAAAGGAAAATTGAACAGATGTTACCTGATGAAACTTGAGAAGGCTGGACTGCATGGAATTTGAGTCAACTTTTTTCACTAACAATAAGAATTAAAATATTAATTAGAATACTAATTAAATTACACTTCTAAACTCCTTGAATATTACCATAAAAATAAATGCAAAGGTTGAATACAAATAATGCTATGGTGCTTTATTTATGAAATAAATTGAAAGGATAAAAAGCCATTTGGTAAAATTATGTCAATACTTCAAGTAGGAAAGATAAAAACAATGGAAGAATAGAGTTGTATCAATTTGCTACAGCTGCTTTAATAGAGTAGATTAGAATGCATTACACAGCAGAAATGCATTCTAATCTACTTTTGAGGACTAGAATCTCAGATCAAGGTACATTAGAATATGGATTCTCAAAAGGTATTAGGAGAGGTTCTGTTCCTGTTTCTTCTTCTGTAAAACATACTCATTTTGGCAAAATATTCTCCTGATAGTCTCCTTGTGTATACATATCTATATCTCTCCACAAAGCATTCATTCATTCATTCCTTTATTTAATCACTTTACAGCCCAATTGCAGCCCCTTCCCACCTCTCCTCCTCTCTGCCCTTGTGTCCTCTTCCTTCTTCCCCTTCCCCTTTGGCCCCCAAGGGGTACCAACCCACCTTGAGGGGTACTTCAAGTCACATAAGGACTAAGTGCATCCTCTCCCACAAAGACCAGACAAGGTAGCCCAGCTGCACTAAACAAGTAAACTGCAGTAAGTTTTCCATGGGTGATGTTCTTTTAAAAATGGAGAAATGAAGTCCATCTCATTTGCCTTTCTGAATGAAGATTGAGCATCTTACCCGGGTCTTCCTTCTTGATTAGCTTCTTTAGGTGTACAGATTTTAGTATGATTATCCAGTATTATATGTCTAATATCCACTTATAAGTGAGTATATACCATGTGTGTCTTTCTGCTTCTGGGATACCTCACTCAGGATGATCTTTTCTAGATCCCACCATTTGCCTGCAAATTTCATGACTTTTTTTTTAATTGCTGAGGAGTATTCCATTGCATAAATGTACCACAGTTTCTGTATCCAATCTTCAACTGAGGGACATCAGAAGAGGGAAAAAACAAGGAACAGGACAGGAGCCTATCACAGAGGGTCTCTGAAAGACTCTACACATCAGGGTATCAAAATATATGCTGAAATTCATAGCCAAACTTTTTTCAGAGTGCAGGGAATCTTATGAAAGAAGTGGGAGATAGAAAGACCTGGAGGGAACAGGAGCTCCACAAGGAGAGCAACAGAACCAAAAAATCTGAGCACAGGGGTCTTTTCTGAGACTGATACTCCAAACAAGGACCATGCATGGAGATAACTTAGAACCCCTGCACAGATGTAGCCCATGGCAACTCAGTCTCCAAGAGGGTTCCCCAATAATAGAACAGGAACCATTTCTGACATGAATTCATAGGCTGGCTCTTTGATCACCTCTGTCTGAGGGGAGCAGCCTTACCAGTACACAAAGGAAAACAATGAAGCCAGTCCTGATGAGACTGGATAGACTAGGGCCAGATGGAAGGGGAGGAGGACCTCCCCAATCATTGGGCTGGGGGAGAGGCATAGGAGAAGAAGAAGGAAGGAGGATGGGATTGAGAGGGATTGGGGAAGGGGGCTACAGCTGGGATACCAAGTGAATAAACTGTAATTAATAAAAATAAAATAAAAAATTTAAAAATGGAGAAATGGATTTTCAGTTATAAAAAAATTCTTATAATTTTTGACAAGGAACAACTAATTCCCTTCATCTAAATTAGCAATATTTTCACTACTCATATATTTATTAAAATTAGTGTTATTATATAAAGTTTAAATCATATTAAAGGTAATTTATTTAAAAGTCTCTCTTAAACCGCTTATTTTCAGACTTTACCACTCCTGAGAAATGAGTGTTAAACCAGTGGCTTTTGTGTCTCTGTTACCTATGAACATGTCCATAATTATTTGCAAATATAGCCTTAGTTTGTTATCAACATTCAGCAGAATAGAACTGGGGGAGAGAGATGGACAGTTTTGACTCTTCTTGCTTGAATAATGTGTTTAAGTAAACAAAACCACAAAGAGTGTTTTGCATTCAACTTTTGGATGTCAACTTTGGAGTTCATCATGCACTGGTCTTACTACATCTCAGTTCTCTCTTCCTCAAAATTTCACTTAAAAACTAACACTCTGAAGAAGTTTACCTTACCAAAACCTCATTGCATTTTCCTTCTTCAGGATATTTACCCTTAACAGGATCTTAAGGACTGATTTACCTATAAACACTATCTTTATCTTTAACCTATTAGAAGATATACTACCATAATCAATACATTTATAAGCGAAAGGACTACATGTTGTTTAATCTAGAACTCTAGTAAAGTAAAATAACTACTGAAAAATAATAAATGCTCATATAAGGTTTGGGTAATAAAAGAGACTACAAATGTGAACCAAAATTTGTAGAATTATTTTACTCTTGGCAACATAAAGTAAAGAAACTCCACATGTATCATGTAATTATACTGAGAAATGGAAAGGTACAAAAAATTAGAACAAATCTGTTTAAATGGTAAAACCTTAACAAACGTGTTTTGGCAATCCAGGTAATTATACAGATAGATAAAAATATTCCATGATTAATTTTATCTCATGACACAGCTCTATTACATTTGTGAATGGCATTCACTGAAGTTATTTCAAGCTAAACAACAGTGCTATTATGTTCAATCATGCTCAAATATAAGGGGCAAACTGTGAAGGAAAAAATGACATGGTATTTATACAAATTAGAACTATACAGATAATAGACCTATCAACCTAGGTCTATTATCACCTTTAACTCTAAAAATTCTCTGAAATTATTAAGGAGTAATTTATCTCTGATTTTACTAGAAATGAGGAAAGCTGCTGCTCATGGCACTAGAACTAGCACCAGAAGCAGAACTCGGGCCAGCATCATCTAAAATCATGGCAAGGGTTCTCTTTTCCTCTTCTTCTATCAAAGCTTCTTCATACTGAGAAGGGAAAGCAGTAGGGTCTGTCCCATGAAGCTTTGCCACAAACTCTAATACTTTCATCTTATTAGTTTCAGCTCGAACCCGGGGCCCCCACACAAATTCATACTGCACAGGATCACTACTAGCTACTGCCTGGCACATGAGGTATTGTTCCTTCACAAACTCATCAGTTATAAGCTGTCTAGGGTCACCAAATAAGAAATTATTCATCCCAGCATAGATTCCCATTGGATTCAACAGTTCCCAAATCTCATCTTCAGTGGCACGGTTGCCTTTCAGGAAGATTATCCCCAGGATGATTATCAGGAAACCGGTCTTAGGAAAACTATACTCATCACTGCACATCCCATCATAGGTGAGACCTAATTTGATAAAGAGGGCATAGTAGTGGCTGACAGGATCTACCTCCTTAACATCCAGCCCAAAGACCATCTCCATGCGCTCAGCAGCTTTCATGAGGATTTCGTGAAAACGATGTTCTTCTTCTCTGACAATGAGTTTCACTATTTCAGCCCTGCTCATTATCTCTTTCATCTGATACTTGTACAGCATGTAATTCACCAAAAAATTAACTTTCCCATCTGCACTCATCATAGGTAAATTCATGGGGGCTGGTGGACATGGTGGATTGACCGGGTTACCTTGCTCTTCTTGGTTACTAAGACCCTCAGCAGATTCTCTTGAAGAGGCACAGGGACTTTGAAGAACCCCAGAAGTACTGGGTGTCTCATCTTTAGGATCTTCCTGTTTGCTGCCCATAAGAGTATGAGCAGAGGAACATGGGTCCTCCAAATCCTTGGAAACCTGTGTAATCTCTAGGGCCTGGTTCTCCTCACAGGTCTGGTTCATAAGAAGATGAGAGGAGGGACATGGTTCCTCCACATCCTTTGAGACTGCTGCAACCTGTAGGTCCTGGGTCACCTCACAGGTATGGCCTTGGTCATCTGCATATTCTGGAGATTTCTGAAGATGAGACATGGCGACTCTAATAGACTAGACGTAAATAAGGGTGTAGGCAGCAAGGCAGCAATGAGGAATCACTGTTTGAAAGAAAAAAGGGATGATGTGAGGGTAATCAGCCAGTAAAAGCCACTTCCAACAGACTTCTGGAAAACATATTATAAAGGTTCACATGCAAAAACTGGTACAGGAATATGGAAGACTGGCTGAGTGCTAGACACCCCAATATGAAAGTTATCAGGATTCATAGTAGACACAGATTTGGCTCTGTAATACCCATTCCTTTTCTAAAAGAAAAGAGAGAGAGAGAGAGAGAGAGAAAGAGAGAGAGAGAGAGAGAGAAGTTCCATAATCGTTACAAGTTCAATCAACATGGAATCTGATGGACTTACGGTAACATTCTGTTCCATAACAGAAAATAACCCCCTAAAGGTAGGCATGAAGTTTTATTTGTAGCCAAGGAACTACAGGCAACTGACATCTTCTGGTAAGGCAAGAGTCAGTTTTCTTTAAGGTAGGTTGACCATGTTCTGATAGGTGGCCATGTACACTCAAAACTACATGGACAGCACATATACTACTTAGTGGGGTAAACAAAAACATAACACAAAGTTGGGTAGGGAGGGAAGGAAATTGCATCTAGGAGGTACTGGAGAAAGGAGGGTGAATATGATCAAACTTCTATGAAATTTTCTTTTCCTAAATGTCTTTATTTATTCTCTCGTATATTACATCCTGACTGCAGTTTCCCTTTGTTCTTCTTCTGCCAGTCCTTTCCTCCTCCTCACACTTCCACTTTTTTCCCCTCCAAACCACTCCAGCTCCATTTCCCTTCAGAAAATGGCAGGACTCCAGTGATATCAACAAAACATGACATATCAGGATGTAGTAAAACTAGGCACCTCCCCTCATATTAAGGCAGGCAAATCAGTAGGAGGAAAAGGGTCCCAAAAGCTCACATTGTTAGGAGTCCTACAAGAAAGAATAAATAGTAAAACCTTGCTCCCTAAGACTAAAATTGTATCTTTTTAGAAATTTAGGACTAAAGTGGTCACATCCTCCTTATTTTAAAATTCTGTGTCAAAGGCAAAAACTTGACTTCACAGAATACTTGTGTACCATGTTTATCTCCTTAATGCTCAGGAGCCTTACTTAGAAACAAACATCAGGCTTGTCTTCTTCATTGGAAATATACCTATGTCAGAAGATGACTACTGCCTTTCTCGATTCCCAGTACATGAAGTGACCTGTTGACACTTTTGCTATCCTCATTTGAATTATCTAAAGGAATGAACAGAGTATCAGGGTAGTAAATGTGCTATCACTCCTCTACTTCACTATACGGAAACTAAAAAGCATTAAATTCATCCATTTACCCCCTACAATCTGTAAATAAGGTGAGACTGTTCTGTTGAGATCACTCTGTTCATGAGTGTACGTTCCTATCTGCCTCACTAAATGTCCTTTATCCTATGGATGTGTCTAGAATATGATATAATGTGTTTGGAAAAATATTTATTACCATGTCTTCAATTGGCAGGAGAAGGAAATCACTTTACATTAGAGTCTGGCAGTCTTGCCCAGGGCCTCCTCAGGCACATAGAGAAAGTGAGCAGGGCTTTGTTAATCCTGATATTCTGAGATACATGATTCTTTGGGGCCCTTAGTCAAAGGTTTTATTTGGAGTACTGATTCAGCTATACTTCCTACATTTTGATAGCTACCAGTTCAACTCCCTGCCAGAATCAGTTCTCCTCACTTCAGACAACTGTGGGGAAGGGTATGAGAAATCTGTTTGCCAAAACCTGGCTAACCAGTATGACAACAGAGGATACCACCACATGGAGACCTATACACTTGGAAGGGTAATCTCTCAGACTTCTTCCAGGGCCTTGCCTTTGATTTTGGCAGAGTTTGCAGCATTTTATACTACCTGATATGACATGGGTCCACAACAAAACGTCCCCTTATAAAAACTCCAGTTAGGAAGAGAAGGAATACTTACCCAATCCTAAGGTATCCTGGACTAACAACACATTACAGTTTTGTTTGGCCTCTTCTGTCTTACTATGGATAGTAGCCTTAATCTACCTGTGTTTCAGTCTAGATTCCTAGTAGTGTTGTATATAAATCTCTCTTAATCTGAGACTGCAATTCTCACAACTATATTAACTCTTTTGAGGAAGGATAAAGTAACGGAATTCCAAGTACCACTTAAAAATTTCAAAATTTGAAGATCAGAATGAAGCATATGAAGATACCAAGTATAACAAAACAAATGATTCTTCAATCTTTATTCAATGTCTAGACATCAGTTACTAACATTGCATAAGACCTTTACCCCTGACAGTCTGCTATTTTATTTTTTAGCATTAAACTATTAGGGACCAAAGAAAGATAAAAAGGCATTCTTCATATGTACATCCCAATATCCAAGTTCTAACATTATAGATGGACATTGTGGGGCCAGTTCTGCTCTAATGTGGATGGGTTCCCTAATTGCTAACTCAGAATACTTACCTTAGACGCTGAACGCACCTTTGAATCCTCCCTCTAATTGTCTGGCTTCAGTGCTTCAGATCAAAGGCCATAGCTCACTGAAAAAAAAAGAAACAATGACATAAAGGATGTTCCTTCTGGGTGCCCATTCCAGAGTTCTTCCAGAGCTGAACAGAGAGCCAGAGAAAAACACCCATTCTTTTGCAGAATGTAGTCATTGTGGCTTTCTATCATTCAAAGGATAATTCCTTGAACCTTTGGTCTATGGTTCTTAGTTTAGAATTTATACTCTCACTGTAAAGTATCCTTTCAAATAAATGCCATGAAAGAGTTGTCCCAGTTTGTTTCTTGGGTTCTGTGATAAAATACTGACCAAAAGAAACTTAGGAGGAAAGGGTTTATTTCTTTTTTTTTTTTTTTTTGTCTTGTGATTTTGTTTTATTTTATTTGTTTGTTTGTTGTAGACCAGGCTGATTTCAAATGCACAGAGATACACCTGCCTCTCTTCCTAAGTGCTGGTATTAAAAGTGTGTGCCACCTACATTTACAATACTTTTTTTGTTTTTGTTTTTTTTTATTGTTTGTTATTATTAGTTACATTTTATTAACTCTGTATCCCAGCTGTATCCCGCTCCCTTATTCCCTCCCAATCCCACCCTCCCTCCCTCAGCTTCTCCCTGCCCCTTTCCAAGTCCACGGATTGGGGAGGACCTCCTCCCCTTTCGTCTGGCCCTGTTTTATCATCACATTGCAAGTTATAATCCATCACTTTGGGAAGTCAAAGAAAGAACTCAAGGCGGGAATCTAAAGGCAGGACCTGAAGGAAAAACCATAGAGGAATGCTGCTTACTGGCTTGTTTCATCTTCCCCTTTTATGTTCTTAAAAAGAATGTCCCCCATAGGCATATGTGTGTGTGTGTGTGTGTGTGTGTGTGTGTGTGCACGCGCTCATATATTTCAAAGTTTAGTCATCAGGGAGTAGCACTATTAGAAAGAAGTAGAAAAAATAGGAAGTGTGGCCTTGTTGGAGGAAATGTGCTGCTGGCAATGGACATCAAGATTTCAAAAGCTCATGCCACTGACTCCATATTCTCTTTCTCCTCCCTTCCTGCCTATGGATCAGGATGCAGCTCTCAATTACTGCACCAGTGTCTGTTTGCATGCTACCATGTGTCCAACCACAATGATAATGGATTAAATCTCTGAAACTGTAATCCAAAGTAATAATTTTCTCTTATAGGACTGCCTTGGTCATAGAGTTTCTTCACAGCAATAGAACAGTGACTAAGACAGAAAGTGTTACCAGGGAATGGAGTATTGCTATGATAGGCATGACCAATCTGCTTGTTGGCAGAATGAGGACTTTGGGACTTTGGATTAGGAAAGCAGTTGAATGCTTTAAAGGGGGATTAATGGACATACTAATAGGATCAAGGGAGGACAGAGTTTTTTAGGGCAACATAGATTAAGATGGTCTGGCTCAAAAGGTATCAAAGAAGAAGAATATTATTAAGTGCCTTAAAACCATTCTTGTGATATTTTGGCTTCATTTTGCCCTTGTACTAAATTCTGCTTGGGGATAAACTTAAGGGTTTTGGATTAATGGTTTTGGCAGAGGTGATTTTAAGACACCCCACTATTGACTCTTTCCTGTGGATATCATTAATCACTCTTATGCAGACATATAATGAAAACAAAAAGTTAGACAAAGAGAAATGTAAGCTGTACAGTTTGAAAAAGAACACCAGGAAGTATAAGGAAACTAGGTCCAGTGCTCAAGTTTAAAGAAAAGTCTTATGTTAAATTATATAAAGGGAGTGGTAGCCTCAGGGCAAGACCCCACTCAACTCAGCCTCCAACTTATGAAAAGGAATTAAAGCAAAGCTTAAGTAGCAAAGAAATTATCATCAACAGAAAACTGATGCAAATGTAATTGAGAGAGGGAGCCAAGATCCATCCCTAGCAAGCAGCAGAACTTGGCTAGCAAACTACCCCTGGCTGATGAGGTCATAGACTCTTAAGAGGATTAATTGTTTGTCTCCCTTGGTATTCTTACTAATGTCACTTTCCTAAACCACTATAATTCTCAACTGAAGTCTGTCTGCCTTTACCTCCTCAGTAAGCGTACCTCTTATCCCTTACCAAAGGGGGTTTGTTTTACAGCAGAGACCATCACAGAAATTCACAACTGGTCAAAATACATAAAACAACTCATATTGTGGTGTCCAGCCTGAGCTGATACATTTATAACATAATCACTAAACTTAAGCCCCAGGAAACTTTAATGAAGAGGAACAGAAACATTCCAATAGGCAGAGGCAGGAGAACTGTATTAACTTCAAGACCAGCCTAGTCTACAGAGCCAGATGCAGGCAATACCAAGCTACAAGGTGGGATCCTGTTACAAACAAACAAACAAACAAATAAACAAACTTATCCGTATTTGAAGAGCTATTGCTAAGTGGCCTTCATAGTAATGGGACAGGGACTGTCTTTGACATGAACTGATTAGCCTGCTC